CTCTCCCGGCACACCAGTGTGCTGTGGCATACCAGTTGAAAATCACTAGTCTAGATGGTACTGATGAAAGAGGCCTTAGATGGCCATGTTTGGACAAGGTGACTTTGTTTCCCGGCACTAGTAGATGAGACCAGTAAGGACCCCTGACAAAGCTAAGCCTCTTTTTCAGGCACTGGAACTGAGAGACACAGAAACTCTTGTTTCCATTCTGTTGGGCACTAGAACGACGGGGGCCTTAAGGAGAGGGGGCAAGATTTACAGTGATGGGAGGAACACAGAATCCAGAGGAATGAGAACAGGGCAGAAGAACAGAGAGAAGCAGGAAGAGGAACTGGAGGCTGGAGAAAGAGAGGAGAAAGGAGGGGATGGTGACTTCCTGTGTGCGGTGGGGCCCAGCTGTATTTCCCACAACCAAGTTTGGGGTATGCCCCTACAATCTTTGTGTTATGCCCCACTTTGGGTGGGTTTTTCTGCCTTCCAGTCAAATGAGGGACAGATTTACATACCTAAAGGCCAGCTCTACACCTCATGAGAGGTACATCCATTAAATAGACAGAAAATGCCTTTGCTGGTCAAAGTATTCTATCCCTGCAGGCAAGTCTCTGTGGGAAGGGAAAAGATGTTTACAATACTGCCTGGCCCCATGATATCAGAGCAAATGAAGATTGAAGTCCTGGAAAATGTTCTGTCTAGCATGTGGAGAGGTTCAGGGAACAGCTGTCGCCTCTACTCTGCCCTGGGATGTGTCTAGCTTTAATAGCACTGCTCTGCAACTTAGGAAAAAAATGTACCTTTCTGGGCAGAGAAGTTGAGACGTTAGAAAAAGGTACTCTGCTTTGCAGATATATGGCCTTGAAACGTATGGGTTGGCAAGTGGCTAGATTTCAGGCTCTGCTCTTTCCCTTGGCTGGGTACCTTTGTGCAGTGCACAACTGTACAGCTACACATGGGCAGCATCCCCCAGAACACAGAGAATACTTCACTGACTACTGAAATTTACATGTCCCTGAATTTAGTGCCTAATCTCTCTGGATTGTGCTTGGAGAGACACTGCCAATTCTGCTTCTCCAGCTTCTTTTTCTCCCATGGACCATTCTAAACCCTAATATATTATTGTTCGATTAGGTAATTCTATTGAATGCTTCCACCTAAACCCTCTGTCTAGTGTTTGGCTTGAAAGGCTGCCTATGATGGAAAGGGTTGTTTATGCCTAAGCTCACTTATCATGTACTGGTTTTTCTAAATGTAGGCCAGAGTGCTTGGGGTTTCTCACAGATGTTCCTATGTATGTTCCCCTCCTCCATTTTCTAACATGTCACCCATTTCATCGTGTGTTGGGTGCACGTGACACAAGCTCATCACACCACCTAAGGATCTGGCAGGAGGAAACAGCTTTGTGGAAAGGTGAAAATGCAGAGTGGAGGGGAAAGGCTCAGGAGTGCTGGGGGAAGAGGGAAGACCAGGGCAGGGGAGGTATCCGCTGGGAAATGCTAGAGGGGGACACACTGGGGGCTGCAGGAGTAAGCAGAGTGGTAGCCCTGACGTTCTGAAATGTGCCATTATTCTAGCTGAGAAGAAACACCATGAGTATCCCAGTCTTAGAAGAATATCCCTTATATCTGGGAGCTCTGTCCTTGAGATGGGCTGTCAAAAATGGGCTGGGACAGAGGAGATGTCTGAGTTATTTATGTTACATGCAGATGAAAATACAGCCCAGTGACACCTGGGCTGGCTAGGCTGGTGGACAGCAGCTCTAGGACCAGCCTTTGGGGCTTGGAGACCAAGGCCAATGGGTCCATCTCCCAGGTTCTCCACCCAGCCGGGCCCACTGGCAGATGCCTGCTCACTCAGTAGCTCTCGTGCCTGGCCCTGGTTCTCTGTGAGTACCTGGATGGGGCCAGGTGGGCCATTCTTACCCGTGAGATCTACCTCCTCTCTCTGCAGGTACTGTCCAGAGGGTAGGCGGAATGTCTGCCCCTTGATGAGGCCTTGGGCCAGCAGCTTATGAAAAGGCTCTCTGAGGAAAGATAAAATGAAAACTGGAGGAGTGGGGATGCAAAGCACGCAGAAGACAGCAGCACAAACCTCACCTGCTAATGGGCAGAAATAACTGTCAGCTGACCAAGGCCACTTGGAAACCCAACTTAGGCCAGGCATGGGCGCTCATGTTTATAACCCCAGAACTTTGAGAGGATCACTTGAGCCCAATAGTTCAAGGCTAGCCTGGGCAACACAATGAGATCCTGTGTCTACAAAAAATAGAAAAATTGGTCAGACACAGTTGCATGTGCCTATCAGGAGGATGAGGTAGGAAGATTGCTTGAGTTCAAGAATCAGAGGGGTGGCGCCTGTGGCTCAAAGGAGTAGGGCACTGGCCCTATATGCCGGAGGTGTTAGGTTCAAACCCAGCCCTGGCCAAAAACTGCAAAAAAAAAAAGAATCAAAGGCTGCAGTGAGCTATGATCACACCACTGCCTGCCAGCCAAGGTGACAGAGTAAGACTCTGTCTCTTAAAAAAACAAACAAGCAAGCAAACAAAAACCCAGCTTAAACAAATGTCTCCTTAGAAATAAGATAATTGAGTCAAATCAGCTGGTACTAACTACAGGTCTACCTTCCACTATGGCAAAGTGGAGAGAGCCCAGGTCTCAGATTTGGAAGGCCTGGATTAGAATTTCAATTCTGCTCCTGAA